ACCACTTCCGCCCTAAGAAGTGTGATTGAACAAAAACTCACCTTGGAAAGCCGCTAGAAAGGGAGCTGAACGGCTTCGAAGTGGGCGTGGTTGCTCAGTCGGCTGCAATCCCCTCGGCCGACTTCCAACCACGCCCACTTCGAAGCCGTTCAGCTCCCTTTCTAGCGGCTTTCCAAGGTGAGTTTTTGTTCAGTCACACTTCTTATGTTCTTGACTAGGGCTAGCGCATCGTTCCACACCATTAGTGTCGAAGGTAAAAACCTTGCTGGGACTGCTTGCTTTAAAGTTCCTAAGCCTGATGATTACAACCCACAGTGCGAAGCGGCACATGCACTTGTTTGTGTATTAGTTTACTGTAACGAATGTTATGGACCTTCTGTTGTGGTTTAGTGAATTAAAGCGCGGTGGTGGAGGTGGCGATGGACAGAACCGCTCACTGGAACCGGAACGAAAACGCCGTCGAAAAGATATCCATGACACGAAGGAGGGAGCAGGGAAGCGATTCCACAAGGGGAGAAGAGAATAGTTCGATGTTGAATATTGTATTGTTGCAGCTTTGACTTGTAATGATTTACAGATTGGTTCAGTTGTTATTTTAGTTGTTACTCCACTTTGTTGTTGATCATGATCTTAGCCTTGGTTGTTTGTCACTGTTGAAAGCATTCATAAAATTTATGCAAAGCATATTTATAGCAAAAAATATTGAGTTAAGGGTAATATCGGTATCAGCATTTGAAGAATAATTTATATGGATTCAAAGTCCACATTTTGAGCCTGAATTGTGGGCCCATCGTGGGAAGGGGAAAAGTTGAAGCTCAAAGCTTTCAGCGTTGATCATTCACTTTTGGGATGCGCCACGCACTTTACCTCCTTTCACAATGACTTGCGAGGCCAACAATGCACAAGACGGTGTTTTTGTCCACCAGACAAGTCTTGTACCTATTGACCAACCCTGGAGTGGATGGAAGGCTTGGCTCGCCTGGGCAAGATTTGATTTGAGCTTTGACCCTTGGACCGTGCGTATGGGAGAAGCTGCCACTTGCAACGACAGCACCTTTGCTCTGGGAAGAAGTTTGTGTCTCCATCTCCCTTTAGTTTTTGGAATTAATTAAACCATATCTGAAAATGAGGGGAAAAAGACACATTTAGTTGTGTTTCCAGTGAAATACCCATCTCTCAATTTGTCGGCAAATTTAACCGACTCTCTGACCTTTCAAGGAACGCTTGGCGCCACGTCAGTGGCCGGTGCATCGCGTTAGTTAGAATGCTTCGCCAGTTTTGTGCAAACTCTAGAAGTGGTCTTTCGGTTAAATGAGATGCGGCATTACCTGATCGTGACTAGCTTGGATTCTGATAGTGAGCTAATGGTTACTCCCGGTTAGGTCCATTTAACCAGTGGTATTATCAAAACAGCCAGGTTTTCGGAAAAAGTTTCAGTGTTCAATTGTATGCTTAGCACCATTTACTCTGTTTATGGGAGAGCACGTTTGATTTTTCAAATGAAAAGTTCTTTGTACAGTTGTTTTCTAGAATAGTTTAGTACTGAGCTTCCGACCAAGATTGTCAATAGCTTTATTTGGCCGACGTTTCGGTGCTTTCACCTTCTTCAGAGCCTTTAGAGATGCTGGACAGAGAGGTCCAGGTGGCAGGTGGATCTCTCTGTCCAGCATCTTTAAAGGCTCTGAAGAAGGTGAAGCACGAATTGTCGGCCAAATTAAAGCTATTCAATCTTGCAACCTCTGTACTAACTCTTCTATTCTAAAATATGCCAAGATTCCTGTAAAGTCGAACTTGGACATAGTGCTTTCTATTCTTTTTAAGAAACGTCCCAAAAATAGCTTTATCGCCCTGGAAATGATTATTGGTAAGTATTCTAGTTACAGCAGGCGCGTCTAATGAAGTAGGGAATACTAACCACAACCGTCAACTTTGAGCAGTTTTTATTAAACAATAAAATCTATCAGATACATTAGGCACATGGATTTAACAATAGGCGAGTACTTACACTATATTCCTCGAGGCTGAATCGATCGTAATTGCAGACTCAGTAAAAAAAAAAGGCGTCAGACAGAATCAAAGCATCAAAAGCACACGAAAATTCTAATGTTTCGAAACCATTGGCTCTTCTGATACCGAATCTGCAACTACAAGCTGAACTGGCGGATAAGAGAGCACAGTCATTCCATGATTCTTTTGTCAAAAATTCACAAACTACGGCTATATCCTAAACAAATCCAGTTAGTTTATCGAAACTTCTAACAATAACAATAGATTACAACATAACAAATAACAAGCTATTAGTAATCGCAGGAGCCGTCTTTCCAACCATCTTTCCATCGTTCAAAGACTTTTGAACAATCAAAGTCAGGTTTTCCAGTCCTCCTGTTTACCTGAAAACAACCAACGGCAACTGCAAACGCGCACGTCAGTAGAAAAATAAAAATAATCAATGGTCACAGCAATTTACTTTAAAGTCTATGAGATCAAGCTATTAAAAAACTTGCTCTATTCGAAAAGAAAAGAAAAGCACAACCACGTGAACGAGTACCTTGTTGTGCAATTGACACATCCATAACGCAAATTCATTACGATTGCTTAATTTTGGAGGATCCTCTTTCAGAACTTTTCGCAAATCTTTTGCGCAATAATCACATGGGTATGTCTGGAAATTAGGAGCATAATCAACGCAAACACAAAAATGGTGATACCCAAGCTATTTTTTCATGGCATCCAGCGCACCTCATTTCAACGGTCAACTTACCTTTGCAAGGCTATCCATAAACGTAGAAACCGTCTGCTTTTGATCCTCTGTCGGTTTTTCTGGATAGTAAACGCTCATCGTGTGCAAAAGATTCCAAGTGGAACGACCTGAAAGAAACCTTTTGATCTGGGCTTTGCTAAACTTTGACAATTTAAGGGTCCTTCAATGCTCACGGATGTACTCACCGAGCTCGTCCTTATCGGGAGGACACTGGTCATAGCCACGACGCGGTGATGACTTTGACTCTGTTTTCGACCCATTCTCTGCTTTATCTGAAAAACCAAAGAAAAACTATTCAGTGGCTCGAGAAAAGTCATTATGTGGAAGGATGACGCATGAGTATTCATTTCTTCAGACCGCGTTTTCGGACATAAGGTAAGAAGGTAAACGGGACACCCAGAGTTTCTAGCCCACCATGATAGATCGTAGAGCCTGCCACAGTCCCATGTAAGTACCCTGAGAGAAAGCTTTAGGTAACTGGCAGAAGTAACAGTGAAGAATAAATAAGAAAACCAACCGAAAACACTGAAAATAAAGACCTCCTGGTTCTAACTTATCGATAGTTAGGCGAGGGGAAGAGGAAGCTACAACATTGGCACTCCTGGTTCTACTTATCGATAGTTAGGCGAGGGGAAGAGGAAGCTACAACGTTGGCAATTGATATGTCCACCCCTACTGTGCGGATAAGGGGAATAAGTGATCCCCTACTTACAATTAGACAACTGCATTGCTAACAACGACTACAGCGTCTTTCAACGGTAAAAGAAAGTCCTAGCCCATTGTGCACGCGCTTGCGTACCATGAGTCCGATGTCAGACTTTGCAAACTTTGCGAATCCGCTAGCGAAACGCTGGATTCGCTAAGTCTGACATCAGTCCAAAACCAGCACACATCCTACCTTACAAATAGCTCTATCCTCTTGTAGAGAGACTGATCTATCTAGGATATGGTTCACTAGGACAGAAAGCAACTTCTTCGCGTTTCGCTGCAGGATCCTCAGGTCCACCGCTGAACATATACCTTGAGCCCCCGCAACAAAAATCTTTCGTGCTGCGAAACCCGAAAAAGTCGCCTTCTGTTTTAGTGGACCACACCCGTCTACCTGACCGTGCGATGAGTCTTAAAACGGAGGAGTAACTGCACCTAGTGGTGGCGAATTCAAGAAAAAAAGTATTTCGCAAAACGTACCTTTGTCCTTTCCATTAGTCTTTTTTACATACTCGTGGGCACGCTGCATCAATTCCTCAACACTTGTACAAGCTCTGCAAGGCTTCCCGTCAGGACCCAGTTCCATTACTGAAACTCAAATCGGTGACTCCATCACACTTTTCGGTCCCGTTCAATTGTCACTAGAAGTCCTGTCACCTCGAAAAACTTGTCTGGATCAGAACAGCTTTTTTGAACGAGAAAAAGATCTCACGCTCAGATGGCTTCTACATTTACCGCAACACGTAGCTCAGAACAGATGAACGCGCCACTATGTCAACAAGTGTAGAGTTGAACTTCACTTTTACCAAATGTATGGGAAATGGTGATATACCACAAAGGGTAGAGGTCCTTGCTGACGCTATACCTGGTGCTGATGATTGCGAAACTCCGATAACCATAGCAAAAATCTGCGGAAAAGTCTTTCAAAAGGCATAGTTCACTCTCCGAAGAGAAGTAGCAGTACCAACCGTCGGAACTAAATAGCTTATCGTGCGTACAAGCCGGTCTACAACTACTGTTAAGTCCCGCTGGTAACCGGCAATTTTTTGCCCTTCACGCTCTTTGGCTAGACTCACTCTCACTGCATGCATTGCGACCATGCCTCTGAGGCACCATTTCTGCCTGACCAATTCTTCTGGCGTGTCAGATGGTGTTTTTTTATCCATCTTCGCTTGGCCTTTCGCGCTGAAAAAATACAAAGGTTGAAACAGTCAACAAGCACGCCATCCGCGACGCCACTTTCACCGCATCACCGTAATCGGGTCCTCATGACTCACATTCACCAGTAGTTACCGTTTACGATGGATAAGTGAGAAAGGTGTCGACATAAGAAGAATATACAGAAGTTCCTCCTCTCCTCTTTCCAGAGGCAATCTGCTCAAAGCCCCGAGAACTAATTAATAAAATATGGATACCTCTTCATGACCATTCAACTTTTATATGCAAAGAAAAACAGATCTTCAGTCTCTAATATATGGAGTCATTGGTGATTCTCGCAGATGACGTCAAAACGCTTATAAAAACTGGTCCACCTTCTCTTTTATAGTTTCAGCGGAAAGTGTTTCACGCGCGAAATATTGGGGATCTGCTTCTTATGTGTATGCTTAGTTTGTCAGTATGGGAGAAATATAGGACTTTTGTCCTCACGATTGGTTTCATTCCATGCTCACCTTTTCAACGCTTCTTGAGTTAAGCTGGTTCGACGTGACTGGTGCACCATTCACACGAACGGGGACGCCGTTCGTTAAGCGGACGGGAGGTTCTCGACGTGTGTGTCTTCTCTTCTGCCTGAAAATGTGTCGATAACAATATCAAATGAGAGGTAAACAACAACCGCCACAGACGATAGCAAAGTGACAGATAAGAAGGCTACAACTATTGCCAGCCGTCGGCCTCAACGTTTCCCTTCACAACTGACTCCTCAATTTCATCTATACACCATGAAATCACTTAGTCAATAAGTAATCGTCATTAGCACATATTTTTCTTCTGAGGAAGAGATAATTTCGCTGGTCTCTAAATATTTTCATCTCAGTTACTTTACTTCGAAACAGCCTGCACGGGATCAACCGTCTCTTCGAACAATACGAGTAGAATATATTTGTTATAAAACGTATTTGTTATCTCTAGAAAGGGTTGTATTTGGGGACGAGCAAGTAAGTCAATCGGAGGTCATACTTGTTGAAGCTAGAGAGGTCGTGTTTATGGGAAGAGGAATCGTCCTTAGAAATTGACGGGAAGGGTTATTTTTTCTTGAATTTCATGAATAGAATTACAGAATGCGCGAGATCGTAGCCCTGGCTTTTCAAGAACCACTTTCTCCTCCTCTGCCTCTCTTGATAGCAGTTTCGGAGTTCAGATCGGAGTTAGAACCGGGCTATCTGGTCTCAGTATCACATTTTGAAAAAATAGTCATGTGGTGGAAGGCAGCGTCGTGACCCCCGTTCCTCTGAGAAAGGCTGAAACTGGCCGAGCAGCGACGGTGACAATGAAATGGCCACCCAAGCGGAAAAGGTACAAAGGAATGGTGCCTAGTATCACTGAACAGAAAATAACGTTTCGTCGTCATCATCAGCTAGAAAACGAATATCACCATGAACACACCATGCCATGGCTACCAAGTGGATTTTGCAGATCAGTTCCTCTATATTCTGAAATTTTCCCACAGAATTAGTAAACAAAAGTTAACTTCGTAGCTTTTCCTGTAGTACTTGACCGCTTCATCTGTGTATTCGCTTATTTCAAGTATTATTTGTGTTGTTTGTTTGTTAAATCAATTCCAACGCCTCAAAACCAAAAACTACCAGTAACTACCAGTATAATAACTCTATCTTAATCAGGAGAATTTCAACACTTTCAAGTTAGGGCCGTGATCGTCGAAATAGAAATATAGTGGAATTCAACTGGGAGCTATTACAATTGCAGGGTCATACCAGGATCTAAAAGCACCTAGCATTCTCAAGTCTATTGGGAGTAGGAACGCCTAAAGCAGATGTGAAGGGGGAGTGGGTGGAGGACATAAAAGGGGAGTGGGATCGTACTGAACCCTAGATGCCGCTTCAGCCGAGTTACGTTTTCATGTGGTTGACCCTGCTAGCAATTCGTGAGCGTGGCAAAGTGTCTGTCTTATCATTCCACGGAGGTAAAGGTGAAAAAAGACCCCCTTTTCCGTAGAGCTTGTGGATTCTAATATGAATTTCCATATTTTCTTTTAATTTCAATAGTTCTGAGAATGCTTCAAAGCCTAACTGAACATTTATTGCAGTCTTATACAGAAATTTATTCCAGGTTTCAGTTTTGAGAAAAGCGAGTGTGGTGAAGACGGCTGGCTGGATGTGGGAAATTTTCAGAAGCTGCCCACTCTGAAAATCCAATCAAGACTAATGGGAACACTAGGGATATTTGTGGAATGTCAGGTTACCATGGTCACCAATCATAAGAGAGGACACTGTCCTTAATAGCTGTGATCATGACGTATCTCCTTGTTTTATTCCGCTGAAAACTACGAGCTTCAGCATCTTGACATATCTAACTCCTAGTGTAATTTGTATTGCTAATTCCATTGTAACTACTAAAGAGAGTTTCAGCCTGAACTGGAAATGGAGCCCCATTACATTGCAGAGGATTGTTTTGCGCGACGCTTCAGAAATCAGAAACAGCGTTCACACTTTGCGATCCCATGCAGCCCACGGTCCACAACCAATGAACAAGGATGGATCTTGCAAGGCGGAGGTTTTGTCATGACAAGTGGCGCAACATACCATGTGCACGGGCCGAGGATCTAATCTTGGACCGGACCTCTCCAAAGCCAACGAAGCCCTCCTTTCTTTGAAATTCCAGATACCTCCGGAAGTAAAACACTAATCTTGTTCCAGCAAGTCATTGTATAGGAAAAATCACATTCATATGTCACTACGGTTCTGAATGAAGATAGCCCATGGCGCATCCCAAGACGGAGGGACACCCATGTGGATGAGCCAGTTACTGTGCTTGGGGTTAAGCCCGGGAGAGGAAGAGATCCTGGGGAGCATGTGAGGAATTTACGTTATCCCTGGCGTTTCTTCCTTTGCTGGGATTAGTCCCAGTCTCACCTGCCATCGGCCCTGTTTTGAATGTACCCACCTCCGTGCCTAATGATGGAACAGTGCAGTGTGGTTCAGCGAAAAGATTTCGCGTTGCGAAAAAGCGGAAGGAATCTTCCTGTCCTAGAGAACCAAATCCACCACGAGCAAAAATAAGAAATAGCCTCAAAAGTCAGTGAGTTAGAAAAGTAGGATGAGAAGTTCAATGAAACAAATGAGTCAAAGACTCAAAAGGAGTGATGAGCGAACCAAAGACCGAAAAAGTAAAAAAAACGCATCGCCTGCTCACGCGTGCGGTTTAGTAGTAGGCGCAAACGGTGAACGCTGCATTGGATAGGCTGTTTGATGCTAAGATCGCATATAATAAAATACGAAAGAAAAAAATAACTTTTTTTGCAACTTGACTCCGAAGAAGAAATTGGGCACTATTCAACTATTACGACCCCAAAAACTCAAAATTTTATTTTTCGTCGAAACTTCGCCTATAGGGGTAATTCGAGTGCCCTGATCACGAAAATGAGGTTCATTTTTGGCGCTGGCGCCATTGGCGCCAATTGGCGCCAAGGGTGTTTTCACCAAATTCGCTGTAAACTTGCACATAGGGGTTATTTAGGGTCCTGATTACGGATATGTCATTCGTTTTTAGCATTTCCACCGTTCAACGCACATTTTCCATTCTCCTGGGTCCTCTCACTTGTACATAATACCTAGGACTGAGCCTAGAAGGAGGGAGGACTCCGGGGTGGGTGAACCAGTCAACATGTGGCAAACGTTAAAGCGTATAAGATCACAGGATAAGTGTTATTCACTTCGGAGCACTCTCCTCCTCAAAGGCTTAGTCCCGATCGCGAGGTGATCAGTGAGAGGGCGCAGACGAGCGGAAAACAGGCGCACACAGGCGCTAAAAGGAAAAATGAATGTTATATTCGTGATCAGGACCCCAAATAACCCCTATGTGCAAGTTTACAGCGAATTTGGTGAAAACACCCTTGGCGCCAAATGGCGCCAAATGGCGCCAGCGCCAAAAATGAACCTCATTTTCGTGATCAGGGCACCGAATTACCCCTATAGGCGAAGTTTCGACGAAAAATAAAATTTTGAGTTTTTGGGGTCGTAATAGTTGAATAGTGCCGAAATTTCTTTAGCAGCTCGGATTTTTCTCCAAAGCTTAGCCCCAAAACTGAAAGATTTCCTGATTCTGACGCAATGTTACAGTTCGGGCCCCGGAGCAATTCTTCCAATTTGGTCCACCGCGAATTATTACGTGAAATGAATATTATGCATTATTAGAGGAAGGAAAATAATGGTTCAGATTATGAATAGTCCCACTGAACTGAATATGATAACTCAGTCAAACAAAATTCAGGATTTTGTTTGTAAATCAGCAAATAGACGTGACGACAAACCTGTCATTAACTGAAGTGAAGCAGTACAGCTGTGCCGGTGCCGGTGATGCAATATTTCGGCGCGAGGCTACGGTAGCTTTGACATGCCACGGTCTGCAATTGCACGCAATGTCATTAATTGCACATGCGGCGAACTTTTTCTATCTTTTCTTGGTGACGTCAAGAGCGCTTAACGAAGGTGCCGAGAGGTTTCCACATTGTACTTTCGCATCTGTTTTGGGAAAAGTATCTGCTTGTGTGGTATGCAAGAGAGATCTTTGATGATGTGGAATGGTTTAGTATGGGAAAAAGGAAAGAAAAAAGCTTCAGGGACTGTTTCACCTTCAAGGCGCTGGTCACAGAGAAACCACGGTTTGGATCTATCAGCGAATCAAGCGTTAAAAAGTGCATCACGCGAATCGATCGTCTACGGGAGGAGAAAAACCCGCGAGAGGGGCCGGCCGGCAATTGCGGGCGGGCGCTGGACGATGGCATTCTTGATTCGTTATGGTCACAACAGCGTAGGGTTGGCCACTTAATTTTATATTAATTACGCATGGAAGTACACGTAGAAGTGGGTCTTAGAGCTCGAAATTCGTTTCTAAACGTGTTGATTAGTGAAGAGGCTTTTAGCTTTTATACTTCTTTTTTCTTTGAGTTTAATCTATTGTTCCTCTAATGTTTTTTTTCTTCTTATTATTGGCTGTGATAGCTCACATCATTGTAAAAGAAAATTTACGCTTCTATTTGAAGGGCTCAGTCTCATATTAATCGCTCGAGAACTTCCTCCTCAATCTGTCCGTTTCGGAGTTCGTTCGTCCCCATACACTCGAAATTTCCTTCATTTAGGCTCTAATTTATGTGTAAATGCTGCCTTTGTTTTGCACTTTAAACTCCAGTGGCCACTGTGTAAACTTTGCTGCTGCATTGCTGTTTACTAATTGTGGTTTACTTTTGCACTTCTCGATTTCATTGATTGTTTTCACCTACTATTGGATTAATCAAACCTGTTCAGCATCTGCAACCATGTCGGCCGAGAAGAAGACAATCCCGAATGGTGTCAAATTCATTTTCGGAGGCGCGGCTGGGTGAGCGTAGCTATTCATGATTCCCTTTCGAATCGAATTTAACATTTAAAAGGATGGAGCATTCTGTGTGATCAGTCATTTTCATTAATGCGCCACGCATTCGACTCGCACTCAGAATCGCAGTATTTTTCGAATGTTTGCTGTCTATTTCTTAGGTTATGGCGGTAAACTGATTTTTCTGAAGGTGTTCTTTTCGCAGGCAAACGTGGTGCCAGTCCCGCGCATGGTCAACCGTAGGTACATGTGGTAAGGGAATGTGGTCCTATTTGCGATTTTGGGAGGTGAGATGTCGTATGGGGACCCCTAAAGCTGCTGGTGGTGATCGGGATGTTAAAATTTTGAAATGAAACAGTACCAACCTAGGGTTGACTTTGACCGCCTACAATTAGGCCGACATACGAAGGCTACTGCGATTTTGGAAGCAAGTCGATTGCGTGGTGCTTTTATTCATATCAGATATAATTCTTAGCTAATTATAGAATGGGAGCAACGTTGTTTGTTCAGCCGCTAGATCTCGTCAAGAACAGAATGCAGTTGTCCGGACGGTCGGGTATGCACCAACTTTGCACCAACTTTGCATCTCCACTGTACAATCTTTGTATTGCATCATTCAAGCACTTGGATAAGATTCTAGCATATCTCGGGCTTAGTCAGACCGAGGTTGTTGGCGATCGGTATGCGGAGGAGGTCGGCGGAGAAGTCGTAAAATGAATGTTGGGGAGAAAAAGCGGTGCGGCACATGGTTGGTTGCCGTACATTGCTCCAGTTTCGCATTCCTGCAACATCAACTTTTTGTCTGCTACTAAACATGAGATTTGATTAGTAAAAGCGTAGATTTATTCGGAGCGGGACTGCGGCGGGAATGGAATGGCAAAGGGATCGTCTTAAAGGTTTCAGAGTTTTCATGCCGATACCCCTTTTTGATTCAGTGTATCTGTCTGAAACCTTCTTTTTCTCCTTATTCTTTCTTTTTTACCGTCATTCCTCAAAGGGAGAGCCATTTTCCGCTAAAATCGTTTTGATAAACATACTATCGCCAATTTTCAGGTAAAAGGGAGTATCGCTCAAGCATCCATGCGTTGACGTCCATTGTCAGAAATGAGGGTGTTTTGGCTGTTTACAATGGTCTCAGTGCCGGTCTGCTCCGTCAAGCAACCTACACCACCACCAGGCTGGGAACATATACGTACCTGTTCGAGCACTTCAAAACGTGAGTATATCAGTGATAACATATCTTTATTCAGTTCAAATCCTCTGACAATTCAGTGGCGATACTGCACCCTCCTTCGCCATGAAAGCGTCACTGGGTATGACTGCAGGAGCGGTAGGATCCGTTGTTGGAACACCAGCAGAGCTAGCGCTGATCAGAATGACTGGTACGTTAATTAGATGCTGTTGGGTTGACCTGAAAGGTGGAGGCGGTGGAGTTTCAAGTGGCGTCACTTCCCACGGTTACGTGTGGTGTCAATCCCAGATCGGATCTCCCCCAATCATTCATGCATTCCACCCCTTCGGGGTCGGCTAACTGGTACCAGACTGGTCTGGGAGGATAATAAACACTGACTTGAACATCGGCTGGCCCCGCAAGTCATTGTATAGGCCACATCGCATTCAAATCTCCACTGCGAATGTGATCGAATCTGAAGCATGGCGCATCCCAAAAGGATTGATCAATGCAGAAAGCTTGATTCCTTAGCTTCAGGTCGCCCGAATCACCAGTGAATCGTCCCAGCGGGCCGATAATAATGAATTACGAGGGCTCATATTGGATGGATAATTATGGTGGATAATTTGAGATAATGTGTAGTTTAGGTGATGGCCAACTACCGCCTGAGCAGCGACGCAATTACAAGAATGTGTTCGATGCTCTGATACGTGTTGTAAAAGAGGAAGGCGTGTTCACTTTGTGGAGGGTGAAGGCTCGAATATTGGACCTTTTTTATTCAAAAAGATTTTTGTTCGTTCCTTCTTTTCTTACCTGTGAAAGAAGGGTGCACCGCAAAACCCAAGGGTGCTTACAGAACTCCAGCTATGTGCAGTTCCTAAAGAACATGTGGTGATTGAACAGAGGTTGAGGGGAATGCCACGTTGTGTTCACCAGCCCTTTTGGCAAACAGTTGGACCGAATTTCTTCCCCTTTGCCTCTGATCTTTCATGACCGTGTTGTTTTGAGTTGTTTAACTAGTGATCCGCTTGGTGCATCGATAAAAAAGAAACATTCGCCAGTGGTCAATTTCATATCGTTTATCTCCTTTCTGTTAGGGCTGTGCACCTACTGTGATGCGTGGCGATGGTTGTGAATGCTGCACAATTGGCGACATATTCGCAATCAAAACAAGCACTGTTGGAGACAGGATACGTTCAAGATGGTTGGAGACGTCCTGAATTTTTTCCTTTAGTTGGGTTTGTATTTGTAATGGCGGAGATTTCACGTGGTAGTCTCTCTTTTGGGCAAGGTTTTTCGGATGTAAAGGTAATTTTCTGTCCAATTCCTTGCTCCATGGTTTCTGGCCTAGCGACGACGATCGCATCCATGCCTGTCGACATAGCAAAAACTAGGTAAGACACAAAGTTACCAAATTCATTTGGATGGGTGGAAGATATGCCTGGGATCAAGTGCAAACAGCTGCTTGAGTGCAGGTCATTTGTTAGTTGTTTTTTTTTTTGTGAGCGCACACTGCGACTAGAGATGAGTGTCAGTAAATCCATGTTCTGAGTTCAAACGGCGGGCTTCAAAAAAGAAAGGACGTGACTTCATGTTATATAATTTTAATATTGATATTATTTATGTTATGATTGTCGGTAGTCGGTTTGTCGTGCGCTGTCTTCTGAAGGTGTCTAGAATCTAGAAATTCGATTGACCACGAGCGAACCGCTCGAAGTATCGTAGAAATAAAAACTAGGCAGATCCTAAACCCTTGTTCAGTAGTGCTCACGTGGACATTATGAGATCCGCGAAAGCTCTGAAAAAAGGGAGATAAAGTGCAACGAGAGTGAGCTGCAAAAATTAGATACAGTACAACAGAGACTGGTCATAGGCGAACTGAACATAAGAAACAACAATGAGTCATTTTACGATCGAGTACAAATTTATTACATTAATCTACAATAAAAACATTATATATCATAATGTTCTAAATTGAGGTGCACACACAAAACTTTTTGAAGCATGAGCTCGGACTACATAAACCCGTCTCAGTTTGGTGTTTCCGCTCGATCTCTAATCACGCCCGTAACTGTATGACCTCAAATTCAACTTTTGGCCACACGTTATTGGCTCGTCCACCCCTGAGTCGCCCACCCTCCCTCCTCCAAGGCTCAGTCTTCGTGCTCTCACCTTCCTTCATGGATTTGGAACAAAGCCAGGCCCCATTCTCTAATCGTTTGCGCTCTAACCATCCGTGGCAGGACCATAGAAAAAATTCAAGTAGTCCGCAAACCGGTTCATTGACCCATTTCACGACGCGGGGCGTGTAAATAATAGATTCCAAATTTGGAACATTAGGCGCAGCTGACTTATAACTGAAGATTAATGTAAAAGCAAGTGCTAAAACGCTCTGAACGAAGGTTCCTTTATGATGGCTTTTACTGAGAGTTGCTGAGTTCTTTAGCGAAGAGAGAGGTGTCCTGGGGCCGGGGGTGCAGCAAGCCCCAACGAGGGGATGGGTCCCCTAAACTCTGCATCTCTGGACTCTTCCCCTATTCTTAACCACGAGAGTTGCGTCATCGACAGAGTGGAGACACAGAACTTTGGGGACCCATCCCCTCGTTGGGGCTTGCTGCACCCGGCCCCTGTATGCGAAGAGATACGACGCAGGAAGTCGATGACGAGAAGCAGACATCAGCCTGATGTTCATAGGGGCGGAACTTACAAGGGAGACAGCTCACGGCGTTTAGGGCGCCCAGGCAACACCGTTGTGGGTACTAACGGAAGGGGTTGTTTTTCCAGTGGGGAAAGAAAGGTACTAGGTGGGATCGGCGATGTCCTTATCTTCGTAAGTATCGGGGTGGAAAATGGAGCCGGTTAAGGTTTTTTCTGGAAAGGACTTGTGATCTTTCAGGAAGTTTCAATTTTTTTCATAAATTTCCGAAAGATTCACGGGCATTGCGGAAATTGTAGATTAATCAGGGTTACCCCTACCGCCCACTGAGCGACGAAGTTTGTTTTTTCTTCGGGAGGGGGGGGAGGGCTGATTTTTAGGTAAGGTGGAGCTTAGGTGATAATGAATGTCGGAGGGTCATGAAATAGAGGTAAAGGTAAGGTTGTTGTCTTCCGATTTCTGTGCCACGGGGTTCGGTCTGACTCCGAGGCCCCCTGCCGCACTGTTGACATAGGGGCCTCCTCCTCTACATCACACGCGCTGTTTCACTTCCTGGCTTATTCTACAAATTGGCCGTGTCTTTTGTTAACTGAAATTCCTCTAAATCCATGTTGTTGAAGGATTCAATCGATGAAGGTCATTGATGGCAAACCCGAATACAAGAATGCGTTTGACGTCTGGGTCAAGGTAAGAATTTAGGACAGAATATGTAATCTTTAATGTTTAGCAACTGGCTTCTCTTTTTCATTTTTGTTTGTCATTCGCAGATTAGTCATTGTGCCAGTGTTTAGGTGATAAGAAATGAAGGTGTGTTTGCATTATGGAAGGGATTCACGCCATACTACATGCGTCTTGGGCCGCATACCGTCATCACATTCATTTTCCTGGAACAAATGAATGCTGCGTACTATAAGTATGTTCTGGGAATCGAGGCAAAAGCCGGTTTATAGACAGTTCCACCCAGTTATTGCAAACTTTCATTTGTTAGCAGTGATCACTTGGTAACTGAGTTGTGTAATTTTTCATTTTTCACTAGCACTAGTTCTGATGACATTGTTAGAGTTTTTACTTTCACAATTTTAAGAGCGTTTCAGATGCATATTGATTGCTTGTCCTATGTCAAGTTGTAAATTGTTCGTGATGCATTACCAGTGGATCTGTTCCCGTAGCTGTAGATGACTGTGATGTTTTTTCTCATAATTAGATGTAATTTGTTACTGGTAGTTCCGCACATTTGCGTAATTCCTTGCAGTATTCAGTCGTCACCTTTTTACATTCTAGAAATTGTAGCTAGACTGGCTTATTAGTCGAGATAAAGATGCTGCCATATGCTGATCGCCACATGAAGGTGTTGGTCCTTTGCTTCTACTGAACTTCATTTTCAAGAAGTATATTGCGCAAGCTGGTAGCAAAATCTGCGTCTTATACGCAGTAACTGTGTTGACGCAACCGGCTGTGAAGGAGTATTTGAAATATACGCATCGCGATTTTGCCATTTTCATAGGATGTTCCACAAAAAGTTGCCTCGCGAGTCGCGTCCAATTGCAGTTCAGCCGAAACGGTGTCGTGTTCCGTAGCTGTTTTCGCTAGGGGAGTATGAGACAGGCGCACTGCATATTGCAAGTCCAAGCGTGAATCAGGCAGTCCGTGCCCTGGGTGTATGTCAACAGAATCGTCCGGATCCCGCGCTACCGGTCGTGGCCGCGACGTCGCAAGTGCAGTGGACGAGTTTCTGTGATCGTCATCTGAACTTGAATGTTACAAGGACGCCAAACAGGCCCGTCCCTTCAAGATCCAACTTCAATATGCTGCTTCAACCGTCAAACTCAAAAGTCCCGCGCTTCTCGAAAATTGCCGCGCAAGTGGACGCACGCGGCGGCGCGACGACCGGACGATTCTGTTGACCGTTCCCCCCGTGCCCTGTTTGCGTGCAGATTCGGCAGGTATCTGATAACTAGTGGTTTCATATTTTATAGTTGATTAGTTTGGCAATTCATCAGTGTAGCAATCTAAAACCCAATCGCGTTTGCCTTTGCTGAACCAAACCACTTACCTTTGTGGAGACTCAGCAACTTGTGTTTGAATTGCTGTGTGAAGCACGTTTCCGAACCGCTAGTTCCAACGGGCGTCAAGATCCTGGGCCATATCCTATCTTTCGCGCCTCAGCAGATCGCTCAACCACCGCAGCTTCTGTCGAAGTCGGCGGGGGGCAAGGTGCGACATGGACAGCCCATACTTTGCGTTTGCAAAGATAACAGACAACGCTGACCCGAGAGAAAAAGGTGGCTTCCCAGGGGGGTATAGCAAAAATCACGCGTTCATTTGTCGGTCCCCATAAGGCCTCTATGCAACTCATGTCTGGCGTTTGGACAGGTGGATGGGGGGCGTGCCTGATTACGATCACAGGGCGACCTCGGGTTTTACTGGTGAGCGAGGCAGAACGAGCATCAGCTAACGCTTTTATGCATTTTCGACTTCAATATTTAGGAAATGCTAGTGGTTAGGACCAAAGAACGGACTTATTCAAAGCCCTGTCACCTCCGAAAATTCCAATTTTCTGCAAGAAGAAGGAATCCCTGGTATAATTCGTTTCCGCTTCACACTCAACCCGGAGCTTGCTTCTCTTGCAAGAAGTTCAGTTTACTTCAAGCGCTATGTATCTGTCCGCATCTCAACCGCCCTGCACTACTTGATTAAGGTTCCCAAAGAGCATTTTTTGTCTCATCGTTCGTGCGGTGTGATATTACGGCCTCGATATCTCGCTTCCGCATGAGTTCCCGGCTTTTTTCTGAGTTCTGTGTGATGAATTTTGATTGAAATGTCGGATGAATTCTGAAGTGTTTGGCGCCCCAATGATTATACGCTGAATCATGGCTTACGCCTCGTCAAAAATTAAGCTTTCTCCCGACGGAGTGACGATCGACTCCACGCCGCTACAATATTTTTCCGATTTCGCCCATGGGCCCTTATGAAAGAAGAAAGGTAAGGTTCTCCAAAGTGTAATAGAAGTAGTTGTTACTAATGCAACTTTCTAAGTTAAACTTTCGCTCCTAGAGGTCCAAAGGGCACCATAAAAAATGTCGCTCGGGAATCTTTTCGAATAACAATCGATAAGAACGAGTTCATCGTCCGTGATCTTTTTTGCCTGTGTAAAAACGCCATTAAACCAAACTCATCGTCTGCTGGTTGAAAACTAGCAAAAATAAACCGGGTTTACGAGCGCGTTATGCCATTCACAGTCAACGCATTCTTTTATTTTTAGACTCGTGTAAAACTACCTCTTTGGATCGTAAAATGCTGTGGCCAGTGTCTGGAGAGTCTGTCCCCGTTTCCCGTTTCCCCTTCGTATCCTCTACCTGAATACTACCTCACTTGCTTCGCCACTAACCGGTCGCTGAGTTTCATTGCAACGTCGGGCTGCGTTCGTGAAACGAAATGTTATTCTGTTGTGTACCCGCCGCAGTTTTTGGTAGGTCAATATCTTTGCAAGCTATTTTGCTCTAATCCTTGGTGGAAGACTGGAATATGAGGATTTTTGACAGATTCTTTCATCGCTTTTGCTTATTCGATCTTTAGTCTTCAAATAAGAAAATCTGTTGAATGTTTGACCATCTCCTCCGCGCATCGCTCTCTCCTAACTTCCACTGTTTTTATCTAGCTCCATAACTTTTTATACGATTAAGGTGAATATGGTCACGAAAATTGGACCGTTCAACTATGAGAAGTGGAAGTGGCCTGGTCAGAATCGCGAATTCCCAGAGTTGTCTCCAAAATGGCACAAAGAGAACCCAGAGCAGTTGCGCAGGTGGGTAAAGCACTTCAGAATTTTTTCGAATTCGTGATTGGAAGGCGTCTCCTCCGGATTTTATGAGGGAAAAATAAATCACGCTCATTGAGTCATCGACAAACTCCCCTAATTGCGGTATAACCCAATAACACAATTACCACACTGTTATTTTAGCTTTCTCTAATATGTCGGAGTGGATTTATTCTCTACTCTCTCATGAACACCAACGCAACCTTTCCTTTTGTTGCCATTTTCTATTCTTGTTTATTGATGGAATGATATTAAACAGTTGGAGAGCAACTTGGGTTGTATTCCATTCGTGGTTTTTTCATTTAAGTGATGATTTCAGATTGCTAGTTGTTTTTGTGTTCGATTATGTTACTGTAAGTCGAACCCGCACACAGCTAAAGGTAGAAATTACGGCCAAAGCAACATGTAGACAATGATTATCCCAATGGCACGATAATAGCGTTTGGTGCGACGTCGCCGAAGGGATGGAGGAAGGTATCCGTGCCATGAAACTGAAGCCCGTGATGTTGGTGGACTCCAAGAGTTAGCTTCTGTTACGTCGCCACCCACTGAATGCATAAGATGTATTCGCAAGCCACAAGCCATTCGAACGCTATCTCTTGTAACGACGAGAGTTTTTTTTATTTCGGTTTTTTTTCTTTTTTCATTCTATAAATTAGTGAGATTCAATCTCCATTATTGCACTGTGAGTCGGTTTTGGAAACCCTCCTGCACAGGAAGTCGATTTCTTTCTCGTCAACGAACTTTTTTTTACCCAGAAAAAAAGTTAGTGAAAGGTCAAGTGCGACCATGCGCTTGCTTTTTTCAGCCAAGCGAACTATTAAAATATGTGCCTTTAATGAATTCAACATTTTCGGCGAGATCATAGACAAAAGTAAGTACATTTCTTCTTTTCTGTTGCCGCTCATAACTTGCAAATATTGGTGTTATTATTTGTAAGCTTTTTTTTAAATCGCTCAATGTAGTCGCTGTATTTCTTACCTTCTCCTTCGCAGAATAACTGCTTCTAGATTTTTAGATTTTTTGCAATTTTGGTCATGTTATAGAAATATACAATTTGTACAGTTCTCACCTTCTACTGTTGTAATGTTTAGTGCTTACTTCAATACGGCACGAAGTAGACTCAATTAAAAACTCTCACGGATTCCGCAAGACTGCTGACCTCGCTTATTCATGGACTTAATAAAATTTTAGGTATACTGGTGTACATGAAGAAGGCTATGTCGATCCTGTCACTGGAAAATTCGTTGTGGTTCCGGAAATGCAAGCAAAGCTTGTCGTGCCGAATTTGGATGGGTTTAAGTAGGTGTTCACGCTACTGATTTTTCATGATAACTTAGCGTTTTCTATTAGAAAGGGGCAATAGTTTTTCGATTTTAGAAAGGGCCATTAGTTTTTCGATTCTTTTAGGTTGAAACCCTACGTATCGTACCGGACGGACGTGGAAATAGAAAAGAGAAGACGGATTTATGAGGCTAAGGTAGCTTCTATGCTTTTTTCATGATGCACTCTTCGTTTGTTTATTTTGGAAACCCATCTTCCGTGGAAAATATATAAGTTGATTTGCTCGTACAGGTAAAAGAGAAGGGCTCGAAAGCTCTAGCAGATCTTTATACTCTCGAGGACGAGCGATGGCCTCCGCCCAAAATGGACGCCGAAACACTGTTTGAGTTGTCCTATGGGGAGCAAATACGACAGGCTTACAAGGTTAGTTTGGGCTATCATCTTCTTCTTATTTTTATTTTGGAAGGTTGGTTGTGTTGTTGAATTTGCCGCTGCTCTTGAAGAGTGCAGGAAAACTAGCACTACTTTAGGCAATGTCTACAGTTATTTTATTATTAAGAACGTAAATGGGCCTTCTATAAAGGGAGGCTAAGTACACGAGGTGGCATTCAATTAACTAGCCCATTCTCTTGACCCTCTACACCTTGCAGAGGAGAGGTAGAGCAAACTTCCACGCTGTCGATACCAACTAATGAATCTCATAGCTTCCAAAGTGAACGGGTAAAATATGGTCTCCCTTTCGCGGTTTCATCCTTACTGCTGCTGCCCTTATTATAGCCTCAGCTTTCATTTTTTCGCAAGATAGCACACCTCTGCTCACCATGGCTCAGATTAGCCCACCATAACGCGAAGAGAAGGATTACGTAAAAACGTGTGTCACCGGCGCTTATACCTTGCCAGTCTCGTAAACGGTCGCGTGTAGAGCAGATACGACCACGCGATCGTAAGATTGTGCGGCTGCAGATCGCTCAATCTTAGGATGGTAGGATCACATGCAGATCGCTCAATCTTAGGATGGTAGGATCACATGATCGACGCGTATCTACTCTATTCTCACGAGTCTCGTAGTAGACGTCGCGATTGTCATAAGGTCTCTCTTTTGTCATCATTCTTGTTCGCTTCGCTATTCATCGTTTTTGGTTCACAAATACTTGTTTCGTTGAGTTTATCCATTTAGTATTCACCTCCAGTGTACCTGTAAGAACCTATTTTGTGGCGTTTCTTCAACTTATGCGTAGGAATCTCGTGGTTTTGAAGGCCTTAAGTGCTATTACCGCGACATCCTGCCACCCCCATCCGCAGAAACGGCAACGTTTTTGAACACCTTCTCTAAAGGCTACGAATTAAGCGTCTTGTAAGGATTCGTCTTTTCTTACCAACAAATCACCATTTTAGGAAGGAAGATATGGACCTGTGGAGAAAAAAGAGGATGAGAAATCTTGACAGCAATTGTAAAAAAAATGTACTGTACAATTTTCCAGCTGTTGTTGATTAATAGGTGGTTTTAGGATGTTCTAGATTGTTGTTGGTATACATTTCATTGATGAAACAAATAAAGCATTTTATTCAGACTGTATTCGTGTCAGCTCTAGATAATGGGAACCCCGTTCGTTGTCGAAAAAACGATTTTTGTTTTAAAGAAGTACAATAGAGAGTAGAATTTTTGAAATGGCAACTGAAATGTAATTGTATTTAGTATGTCAAAAACTGCCCTTTTGATCCTTGCTGATGGTGCAGAAGAGATGGAGGCGGTGATCACAGCCGATGTATTAAGAAGAGGCGGCATTGAGGTATGGCAGTTCTTCTCAATCCATAAGTCTTTTCATTTTTCTGAAGTTTTCTTTTTATCATCATTTTCAGATACCACGAAATGATAGAGAACTTTGTTGATTTATCAATTTGATGATTCTTCAGTTTAGTACGAATTAATTCAAAGAAGACAAGAATATTGAGGGGGGGGGGCAGAGCTACCCATAGTGGGCGGGGTTACAAGTGCACATAATATGTGTGTGTGTGCGTATGTGTGCAAAGATTTATATTTACCTATAATGTGTATTTAAGATGTGTGAATCTTGAGAAGAATGGGTGGGCCTCTGGGTCTGGGGCTAAATGTCTAGTAGAAGAGTGTTTCAGTGTTTTTTTTTCTTCACGCCTTACGCTCACTGTTGCATGATTTTTCAACGCATCATACTGATTTTGGCGCGCCCAGTATTCTTTACTGAGCGTAACAATAAATAAATAAAAAGGATTCACGAGGGCATCTCCCGCAAAGCCGTTGTGCCTTTCCATCGCTCTGCAGAACTTCTCCTTCGAAATTCTATGAACCTCGTCCTGGCGTGCACGAGAGCGATGGAAGATAATGAACTTCTGATGTTTTTTGATATTTCGGAATTGTTGCATGTAGCAATTTCGGGTAGAATGATTTGTGGACTACTTTAGCTGCAGTACTACTTCTTTTTTATTTATCTTCTTTCCCATCAGCGTTCACCTCCTGGTGGCGCAGTCCACTTTTCTGTTATATTTGCGTCCTGTTTTCCCGATTGAATGCCCGAAGGAGATGGATGATAACGATTCCAAGTGCGGAGCTAGTATACCACTGCCCAGGTTCAGTCGTCATTGACCGCTTTCCGGGCTTATCAAATGTAATTTCCCATCCTTCTGGGCAAAAATTTACGGTAACAAAGTAAAACCGTAACTAAAAAGCAATGTGGTCGAGAAGTCCCTTATTAAAAGTACAATCATGTTGGTGGAAGATTATCAAACAGCAAAGCAATATTACCCTTTGAAGTGACCGCTTTCTGCGTTGAGAAATAATGGGAGATTCCCTACACGTCACTTACGGCTGTTGGTGTAGCGTCGGTGTGAGGTCAGGTAATGTCCATGGCTTTTCAGGAGCGACGTGTTCGAACAGTCGAGTGCTGTCCTATGGTATGCTTATTAGCATGTTTGCTTCGGCAACATCAAATGACAAAGTTGTGATTAAGGATAGCGTTGGAGAGCTATTGTTGCGCGCTTCCCCAGTATGATGATTTCCAAGACAATCGGGTTGCGTCGATTTTTGGGCAATTTCTGCATTGTGAATGGGCGCCCAATATTGCTCTGATGCCCTGTGTTTCCCATTGAAGGTCCTTACGGTATGAAGCATCAGCCGAGGTAGAAGGAGTTCGAAATGATTTTTACTATCCAGTTTTCTATCTTGAGCAGCAGAGGTCCGATGTGTCTTCGAATCGTGATTTCTGCTCTTGTGATTTCTGCGAAAGCCATCACTGAGTGGCTGAATGGCATTTCACTAGCATTGGTCCAGTTGCCCTTTTTATTCCAGAGTGGCCAGACAGCAGCAGACCATCTTCCCACTAAGGGAAGCGATCGATAAATAAAGCTCATGACGGAATCCGTACAGTGACTTGTAGCATCTTTGCTTTCTATTCAATTTTCCCGAATCGGTTGTATGTTAAGCATTTTCATGATTGTAATCCTTTTTGTTAAGACGTGTGTGAACAAATCGTTGCAAGGAAGTGCGCTAGATAGCAGTTTCAGCGACAAAACGACGGAATGAACCAGCTAGCCTTCCAGCGCTTGTTCGCACGTATCTTCAGATATTACTCGTGACAAGTCCCGAGAAAACAATGTTCTGAAGGTTCAGGGATTATTTGGCCGCTTGTGCGCTGGGTAAATAGGCCTATTTGGAACTTGGCGTAATGGTGCGCATGGAAGGTGCGAGTTCAACACAATCAAACAGTTTCGTCAGAGCCTCGATAATGAGTTTCTTTAAAGGAGTATAAAAACACTGACCCACTTGTGGAGCTTGGATATTAAATTTTTATAATGACGAAATTCGAAAAGGAAGGATACTGAGGGCTATCAAAACAATGCATAGGATATAATCAAGAAAACTTCCTGTGTTTAAAAATTCTGGAAATTGACGAGCGTAGCAACCTTTTGTTTGAACGTTGGTTTTTGCGCCACCCTGTATTCCCTTCAGGGCGTCCCTTTGAATGGGCTGGTTTGATCAAGCAAGGTAATGCCAGGCAAATTTAGGTGACAATTGCTGGCCTTGAATGGGCCTGCGTTTACCAGGTGACCTTGGATGCGGAGGACCAGTGATACTCCGTGAATCGTGCCTGAAAGATGTTGCTGTTCAACCAACTTTCGGATTGCTGGTTAGTTCTTCCTGGAGGACAGCCCGGTAGTAATACACTAGCAGCGGTGGGTTAACTTTTACTGCAACTAGATCTTTACAGCTTCATACACTGCCATTTTACGCAGCGATCCGCAACATTGGCGTTGCTTTTTCCTATAAAGACCCATGTGAAAACTTGTGCTCCATTCCCTATTTTCGTTCGATCTGTAGCGCTTTCGCTTTCGGCTTATTTTACTTCTTCTGCGCCTCTATTTGTTGGTTTTGAGGCCTTTACTTCCAGTGGGACTAGTTTTTCTTTCAGGTGTGAGATTCGTCATGGCTACAGGTGGGATTATTTTCGAGTTTATACATCTCCTTCTTAGAGTTCTCTGTTGTTCGGAGACGTGGTCAAGGCTCATCACAAAGCCGAGAAATACGTGGCAGCCATTTGTGCAGCTCCGATAGCGTTAAAGTCACATGGGATTCCGGCCGCGTTGGTGACGAGTCATCCATCTGTACGTTCACAGCTGGAAGAAGGAGGTGAGTGCTTCCATTTTTTGGCTTTGAAATATCCTGTAGCAAAATTTCCAATCGTTTTGCTAATGATATTCTCGTTAAGGCTACAAGTATAGCGAGGATCGAGTAGTAGTTTCGGATCGTGTGGTGACAAGTCGTGGCCCTGGCACAGCTTTCGAGTTCGGGTTGAAACTTGTGGAGTTGCTAGCGGGAGCTGAAAAGTCCAAGAGCCTGGTGGCTCCAATGCTAGTCAAGTTGTAAAACCCTCTACGCATTGCTCTTTGTGGGCAGATTCCGTTACCAAAACACGTTTTCATGTTCTATGTGTAGTTTTCTGATAGGTTTCCCGTAGTCTAGACAGCCCGGTGGTAGTTACACCGGTTATGGTGTTTCTCTTGAAGGACTTGTTTAACCAGTTGGTTTTTTTTACCCTACTTCCTTGATTCGTTGAATAAATGAGTAGTAGTTGTGTGTTGTATTCTTGGTTGACCGTACAGTTCGCCGTTAGTTAAAGGCACAAGCCAGACAGAACTCGTATAAACGATTATTTTCGGTCTGTAGGGTAGACCCCTAGACGACAACTTCAGATGTGGCACTCCCGTGCATGGAAAGCACCCGACAAGGGCGCTAGGGCCTTACAAATTTAGCCGCAGCCAGCTGCACTTTTCCCCATTTACGCTCCCTCGCCTTACACTCTACTCTCCGGCTCTCGGTCTTTCATTGCCTTAGCACAGCGACATTACGAAGATGTGAGGAAACTCTTAGGCTAGGCTTCTTCGACAGTTCTTCTCCTTTACTCTTTACTGTCCCCTCCCCACTTCGCACCAATAGTTTCGTACTCACGTGCAAGGACCTCACCAGTTCGATTATGGGACATGCCTTTGAACCCTTTTTGGAGTGTGCCGCACACTTATCTTCCGGTAAGTATCGTAATGGTAATCCAAATACGATTCGGTCTATACAATTATATGGCGAGGCCAAGCGATGAGCGACTCAGTGTGTTTCTACCCTAATAGACAAGTCTGGTAGTAACTCGATCTCCTGGGCGAAAGGAGAGATTGGTGGCCTGAACATCGAGCACGGACGTCGAGCAAAAGCAGTCTGATCACCATATCTGCAGTAGTGGCCGACGGAAACAAAATCTGAGCATCTTACGAGGGTGCATGAGCGTTTTCTCATGAGTGGCGCCGGGATAATGCAAATAACTTTAGATATTTTTCAGTTTCAAGGTCAATCAGATTGCGCCACACAATGACACAGAATACCCATAAACTAACTATAGGTTCGACTTCATTAAACATCATTTCGCTTGGTGTACACTTGTAAACACTTAGAGATAGCTAGAACAACACTTGTTCCGTTTTTGACACCTTTACTGAAAAACTAACAGAATTCATAAGAGTGTTACTAGGAAATGGTTACCATGAGAACTTTATTATAACTAATATAGTTAAGTGCATTTATAAAAATAAGTTTATATGTTACAAATTTTCAATTGCTAATAATTATAAAAATATTAGTAAGTTAGTGGAAGGAATACTTCGTCACTAAAGTGCTATCTAATTGTTAGTGGAACAATTACAAACACCCACCTTTTACACTTTATAGTTTTACATTTTTAATCAACTTATTTTTTCATTCATTTAGTCAATATACAATTCATTTCATTGCATGCTCCTCTGCTGTAAGCCCAACGTTTTTTTTACATCAAGGTTTATTCGTCTTTCCCCTGTGTCTTTATTTCGCCAATCCCAACTCACTGATGAGCTCCGGGGATTGACGAAATAATAAGGTTCGTCTGAGGAAGGAGCGAAACGAACCGTATTTATTATTTTGTTTATAATGGTTTTTCTTTCTT